AACAATACGCGGCACTACGGCTGGAGAGACATTAAAGACTTCGCTCGCGATGTGCACTGCCTCTTACTAATGCAGCAAGTTTTGCAGCAATGTCGGCGACAATGTGTCCACGCTGAAAGAAAACTACAATTTTGTAGTGCTGCTCATGGGTAGGACCTGAGGACCGACTTCCGTCTGCGGTCAGGGCGACCGCTCAGAGCGCTAGCATGTATACCACCAGCAACTTGGGCTAAGGTAATCGAAAGGTATCTTTCTCTCCTCTTCCAAAAACCCTCCGCCTTTTCGCTTCCGATGCGCTTTTGAGGCCTCAAGATTGCCCCAAGATGGCCCAAAAGAGCCCAAAGAGGGGCCCGAAAGTCCTCCAAAACGGCCCCAAGAGCGCCCAAGATCGGCCCAAGAGCGTCCCGAGAGCACCCGAAGAGGCGATGTTGATGGCCCTAGTTAAAGGAGGAAAAGTATAACCCCCACCTTTTGATCGATGGCCTCCAAGATGGCCCCAAGAGGCCCTCCAGGGCTCCCAAGGGACCCCCAAGAAGGCTCCAAGAAGGCCCCAAGACCCTCCAGAAAAGCCTCGAGAGAACACCACGATCACCCAAAAGAGCCCCAAGAGGGCTCCAAGAGGCGAGTTTGAGGGCTCTGTCCTCGTCTTCGTAGACATCCTCCTCTGTCTCCTCCTCCTCCTCGTCGTCCTCGTCCTCGTCGTCCTCGTCCTCGTCCTCGTCCTTGCCCTCATCGCCTTCCTTTTTGGGCCCATGGTTCTGTTTTAGCTGTTTCCCCCAGGACCCGACGGCTGTAGGGTTTCTGCGATAGATAACGAGGTCGCGTAGGGCCGGCGAATTAAGAAGTTGAGGATGTCCCCCCTTAGCCAAACGGCTGTTTTATAGAAGTCTCTTGAGGATGTCTCCAACGAAACGCTAGTTTTGCAGAGTTGGGGGATGTCTCGAGTGGGGGCCTCGTGGGGGGCCAGAATTCAGAGGATGTCTCAAGCGAAATGCTTGTTCTCACGTGCCTAGTTCGGCCAGGGAGTATCTAACATGACCCTCGCTGGCGCCCCAGACGACCACATGTTGGATATCTCCCTGGGTGGGCTGGAACCATGAGTTTTTACGTGTGCAGGCCATCAGGGGGGTATCTAGCATGGTGGTCCCGAGCTGGAATCGCGTGTTCTCACGTGTCCAGGCCACCCAGGGGGTATCTAACATGGTGGCCCCGAGCTGGAACCACGTGTTTTCACGTGTTCAAGCCACCCAGGAGGGGTACCTAACATGGTGGTCCTGGCGTACTTTCACGTGTCCAGGCCACCCAGGCGGGTATCTAACATGGTGGTCATGTGCTGGAACCTCGTGATTTACGTGTCCAGGCCACCCAGGGGGTATCTAACATGAGCCTCCTGGGGCCTTACTGGGGCCTGGAACGGAACGTCTAGAGTTTGTTTGTATCTGGTATCGATTCGTTGACTGTTTGGCCTCCAGGCGCCTCCAGGCGTTCATGGGCCCTCCTGCGCCCCAGACGACCGCATGTTGGATATCCCCCCTGGGTGGGCTGGAACCCCGTGTTCTTACGTGTGCAGGCCATCAGGGGGGTATCTAACATGGTGGTCCCGAGCTGGAATCGCATGTTTTCATTTGTCCAGGCCACCCAGGAGGTTATCTAACATGGTGGTCCCGAGCTGGAATAGCGTGTTTTCACGTGTCCAGGTCACCCAGGCGGGTATCTAACATGGTGGTCCTGCGCTGGGAGAGACCTCCCCGTTCCTGGGGGGCTGCTATCTGCGAAACTGTCGCCACTTTCGGGGGCTGCTGGTAGGTCCAGCGGAGTGACGCACCGCGCAGATCTGAGCGAGACCTCCCCGTTCTTGGGGGGCTGCGATCTGCGAAACTGCCACCACTTTGGAGAGCTGCCGGCGGGTCCAGCGGAGTGAGGCACCGCGCGGATCTGAGCGAGACCTCCCCGTCCCTGGGGGGCTGCGATCTGCGAAACTGTCGCCACTTTCGAGGGCTGCTGGTGGGTCCAGCGGAGTGAGGCACCGCGCGGATCTGAGCGAGACCTCCCCGTCCCTGGGGTGCTGCGATCTGCGAAACTGTCGCCACTTTCGAGGGCTGCTGGTGGGTCCAGCGGAGTGAGGCACCGCTCGGATCTGAGCGAGACCTCCCCGCCCCTGGGGGGCTGCGATCTGCGAAACTGTCGCCACTTTCGAGGGCTGCTGGTTGGGCTCGCCACTTTCGAAGGCTGCTGGTGGGTCCAGCGGAGTGAGGCACTGCGCAGACCTGAGCGTGACCTCGCCGTCCCTGGGAGGCCATGCCATGTTCTTGCTGCCCCGCCTACGTTTCAAGCCCCTTGCCCACAGTCTCCTTTTGGAACTTGCGTCCTCCTTAGTGACTCAGCGGTTCACTTGGTTACTCATCGTTTTCCCTTGATTGCGGACCTGCGAACCTTCCGAATGCCGCTCGCGAAAAAATATACGCCCATGTCACGTCGCCGCCGTCTCGTTAAATCTCTCAAATCACTCCGGCCCCGCATTGCTCAGGGGTTGGGTACGTCGCCAGGGTAATTGCAATTCCGATCGATTAAACACTGGGTGAGGTAAGCTTGTTCGTTTGTTGCGGATGTCTCGAGCGAAACGCTTGTTTTGCAATTTATTGAGGATGCCTCGAGCGAAACATTTGTTCTGTGCGATAGATGGTTACTCTCCTGGGGGCCAGAATTCAAAGGATATCTCAGGTGAAATGCTTGTTTTCACGTACCCAGGTCTTGAGGATGTCTCGAGCGAGACGCTTGGTGTCACGCCTCGAGGTTGCCTAGGCAGATGTCTAGTATCAAGATGTGTTGAGGATGTCTCGGGCGAGACGCTCGTTTTCACGCGTCCAGGTCGCCCAAGCAGATGTCTAGAATGAGAATGTGTTGAGGATGTCTCTCTCTCTCTCTCGAGAGAGAGAGAGAGAGAGAGAGACTGAGGATGTGTTGGGCGAAACGCTTGTTTTCACGTGTCCTGATCGCCCAGCCGGATGTCTAACATGAGGATGTGTTGAGGATGTCTCGGGCGAGACGCTCGTTTTCACGCGTCCAGGTCACCCAGGTGGATGCCTAGCATCAGGATTTGTTGAGGATGCCTCGAGCGAGACGATTGCTTTCACGTGCCCAGGTCGCCCAGGCAGATGTATCACATGAAGATGTGTTGAGGATGTCTCGAGCGAGACGCTTGCGTTTACGTGTCCTGGTCGCCCGGGCGGATGTCTAGCATGAGGATGTGTTGAGGATGTGTTGAGCGAAACGCTTGTGTTCAAGTGCCCAGGTCGCCCAGGCGAATACCTAACATGAAGATGTTCGGAGGATGTCTCGAACGAACCACTTGCTTTCGCGTGTCCAGGTCGCCCAGTCGGATGTCTAACATAAGGATGTGTTGAGGATGTGTTGAGCGAAACGCTTGGTTTCGAGTGTCTAGCATGAGGATGTGTTGAGAACGTCTCGAGCAAGACGCTTGCTTTCACGTATCCAGGTCGCCCAGGCGGCTGTCTAACATGAGGATGTGTTGAGGATCTCTCGAGCGAAACGCTTGTCGCAGTAGAGTGCGTCGCAGTCCAACCCCGCCCGTCCGTGGGGCGTCACCTGGCGCCCTGGCGCGCCCCCTGGCGCGTCCCTTGCGACGTTCAGGCGTGACGTGCCCTGGAACGTCCCCTAGCACGCCACTCGGCGTGGCACGTTCCCTGGCTCGTCCTCTGTCGCGTTTCCTTGCTCGTCCCCAGGCGTTTCCCCTGCCCGTTCCGTGGCGGGCCCATTGCAACGTCCCTTGGCATGACGTCCTCTGGCCGCCCCATGTCACTCGCTTTGGCACGTCCCGTGGCAGGTCCCTGACACGTCCAGAGCACGTCCCCTGATGCGTCCCCTGACACGTCCCCTGGCGCATCCCCGATTGCGCCCCTGGCACATCCTGTGGCGCGTCCGTGAGCCTGTGCCCCGTGTCGTGTCGTTCCTTTTCGGAGCTGAGTCGGATTTTGAGGTAGAGTTGATTGAACGTCCTCCACTCTTCCACTTCACCTAGCTCTGCGGCGGATACTATGTGCTCAGGCAGCTCGATATCAAGATCCAGATCAGTTCGGTCAAGACTCGAATACCAAGTAGGACTCGATCCACAACGCTATGGAGCACAATCGCGGCATGGCACATCGCAGTTCAGCACAGCACAGCACAGCACAGCACAGCACAGCCCTGGGCACGGTACACCAAGATCGATACATTCAGCATTGCAACTGGCCGTCGCCCAAGCAGGTGTCTTGAAACTGTGCCATGCCTCACATGTCACATGTTCATATCCCTTTCTGGGTTCATGGGTCGATCATGTTCCCGTCAGCTGTTCTGGGCTGGACTTCTGAATGGACTGGTGCGCGAGTGTGCTACGCAAGCGCTTACGTTGGATTGCGCTGCAGCTCAGTCCTTCAAACATACATGTGCCCATCCAAACATCAGTCCGTCCACGCACCACTCGCATCAGACATCCACCCATACGTCCAATGATTCAGGCATCGTTCCATCCACCCTGGCAACCCGAAAACACCATATCGATCGATCCACCTGTCAATCCATCCAGCCAGCTGCACATGTATCAATCGATCCATTCCTCCTCAAAAGCATACAGATCCCCATCCATCCATGCATACACGCATACATTCATTGACCCAGACACTTGCCAGGCGGCCACCACTCGATACCGCAAAGGTCGCCCAAAATGGCCTGACACTTCCCCAAGGGGCCGCAACTTGCCCCCAGAGGCCCCCCGCTGCCACCAAGCAAAAAGAGAAATACGGGGAGCCTTCCTGAACGCCCAGGCTTGGCCCCGGAGGGGATCAAATTTTCTGGTGCCAACAGCGAAGCCGGGGGGGGAATGCGGGAGGGTGTGCCAGCCCCGCGGCCCAGGACCCCAGTGCCCAGGCATACTACACGAGGAGTAAAAGCAGGGGCGGAAGCTTGAGTGGGACATTGAGCGTCGCACGAGAAGCGCTGTCCTGGAATTGCGCGAAGCTCTCTACGACCTGCTCGAGGCTGTTCAGGCGGCGGTCGAACTCCTTCTGGTCTTCCTCCTGCCTCCTGAGGAACTCCTTGTGCCGGCTGTCGAGGTACTCCTCCACCTTTGCTGCCTTGCCCTTGACGTCCCCAGGCGAGCCGAACATCTGCCATCTGCTGTTGAGAGTCTCGGTAGGCAGCACGTACCCGAGATCCTCCACGATATCGGTAAGGACCATAGCATCGTTGATGGCTGTCTGCAGCTTGGACAGCTCCCCAGGGACAGACTTCAGATAGTCCCGCATGTCGGAGCACTCCTCGATCGTATTGACCTCCTCCCTGAGCTTGGCGAAGATGTCCGAGAAGGCGACAGTGGCCTCGCCAGATCCAAGACCCGACCGCAGCGAGAGCGGGACACGGAGACTTGAGGCAGGCCCATCTTGGGCCCAGGAGGACGGGCAGGGCCGAGGCTCCCGATCCCAGAGCCGTCGCGGTGGACGCCGCGTTTCCAAAGCCGCCAGGGCGTGACCGCGCCTCAAGCGTCCGGAAGCGGTGCGCGCGCGCTGCGGCGCCCCTTCTTCAGATGAGGCGAAGCGCGTGGGAGCAGATGCACCGACCGACTTCCACACCCACCGTCCCACTGCTGGCGAGGCCGTGCCTCCAACACAGGGTGCTGGTGGGCGTGGATGCGTTGTCGTCACCCAGGGGCTGGAAGATCCGCCGGCCCCGCGTGCAGGGCCATCAGACTGCGAGGTGTGTCCTGACCTATGCACCTGGGCAGTCTGCTTCTGGACCTCAGCAATACGGCAAACATGACTTCTACTGGGCTCATTTCTCTAGTCTCCAACATTCAGAACTACGCAGCTTCTCGGCTACTGACGCTGTATGTCCTCAACGAACGCGATCACCCTGAGTTCGGACGCTAAGTTTCACCTCGCCCGAACCACATCCTCAGAATCGATGGGCATCCTGGGACGCGTGAAGCTCCTGCTAACCAGCGTTCCTGAGCAGAACTTCCCGCGTGCAAGAAAACTATAGAGCCCCTCCCCCGAGGTTACACTATGTCGCAGTTAAAAACATAGATCCGGCTAACAGGGCCACGATATCTCGTTATACATGTGCATACATACAAATATATACATATGTATATATATACATATGCAAACACACTAGAACCACGCGAGCGCTTCGCGTGCGCTTAGGTTCTAACCACGGTTGCGTCACGTTTTGATGCGTTCGTTTTTGCTTCATGGATCATCCACGCAACAAAGTCCGGCCATGATGGCCAGAGCATCGATCCACCGCGCCACTTCCCTCTCCTCTTTCTCCTCCTCTTCTCCTCGACATCCCCAGGCTCCTGCGTCGGCCCTACTGCGGTATCCCTACTCCTTTGCCCCACCGTCTCGTCATTTACTGTGCACTCCTCTTCGCCCTCCTCCGTTTCCTCCCCCGTCCTCCCCTCATCATTATGTGCCACTATCCTGCTCATCCTTCCCTCCTCCCCCTTCTCCCCCTCCTGCTCCTCCTCCTCCTCCTCCTCCTCCTGCTCCTCCTCCTCCTCCTGGACACCACGCACATAGTTCGTTGGTAAATTGGGAGCTCGACCGAAGGCTCCAATGGGAAAGATTTCACGCCGCCACCGCCCCACTGTGGCACACCTGGGACACGCTCCGTGGCTCCATAAAGGGCACTAGAGAAAACCACAGTGTGAAAGCCCTTACGCCGCCACATCTCCATGTTGGGGCACCCCTCGTCAACTTCGCGGCCGTGGCCCTACAGGGAACTCCAGTGAAGGCCTCATTGGGAAAACCCTCGTGCCGCCGCGCCCCAAACTTGGGACCTCCCTCGCGCGTGTCGGAGGCCCATCGGAGCGCCACTGAAAGCCCCAGTGGGGCAGCTCTCATGCCGACACCACTCGTTTCCTGGGTGGGCCCCTCGCGCGTTGCGTTTCCCCATAGCGGGTTCCACCGAAAGCCCCAGTAGGAACCCTGGCGCGGCCACACCTGGTTGTGGCACACCCCTCGTGCGCTTCGTGGACCGATAAGCAAGGCCCCTTGAGAGAGGCCCCTTGCCCCACAGCACCACATGTTGCGAAGCACTCACACCTTGTGCGTTCCAGTCGGCAGCACCCTCGGAAGCCCCAGCGGGAAGGCCCCCTTGCCGCCACATCTCCAGTGACAGACTCCTCTCCCACGCGTCGGGGCCCCGGAAGGAGCCCCACCGAAGGCCCCGGTGGGCAGGTCCAGAGGCCGGCGCCCCTCCACTTTGGGACACCCATCGCGGACTCCACCGAACGCCCCACTGGTGAAGAAACGCCCAGGCCGCCCGCCCCCCCCGATTTCGGCGTGCCCTGCGCACGCCTCGTCCCCATCGGGAGCTCCACAGAAGACCCGAACGGGAGTGCCCTGATTCTGCCACCCCGCAAGTTGGGAGCACCCCTCCCGCGTGTCGTGAGCTCATGTGGCGCTCCGCCGAAAACCCCCGCGGAACGTCCGCCATGCCGCCAGGCCACTGTTTTGTCACACCCCTCACACATACCGTGCCCGATGGGGAGCTCCACCGAAGGTCGCGGCGTAAAGCCCTCACGCCGCCACAACTTCATGCGGGGCGCCGCGCAAGAGCTTCGCGGCTCCATGGGTACCCCCACCACCGAGCCCACTGGGAAAGTCTTCATGCCAGCAATCAGTCGCTTCGCAACGCCAGTCATATTTTTCGTGTTCGGTCCTTGCTTTGGGTCTATGTGGGAAAACCCTCATCCTGGCACCCCGCCTTTTTGGCACACGCCTAATACGGTTCCTGGCCCCGTAAGGAACCTTCCTGAAAGCCACTGTGGGAGACTTTCACGCCGCTAATTTCTCATTCTGGCACACCCTTCACACGCATCGGGGGGCCATAGGGAGCTGCGGTGCAGGCCCTACTGGGAAAGCCTCCATGCCGCCCCGCTTCTTCTTGGCAAGCCCCTCGTACGCCGCGTGCCCCTGTAGGGAGCTCCACAAAAAAAATCAAGAAACAACCCTCATGCCGCCGTCCCCGCCCTTTTCCCTCCCCCATTGGGAGGCGCCCCTCGTAGGTTTGGAGGCCCACAGGGAGCTCCTCCACCGAAGGCACCCATGGGAACGCCTCATGGCGACACCACCTCATGGTGGCACACCCCTCATACATCCCGTGGCCCCGTATGGGGTTGCATCGAAGGCCGCGGCGGGGAAACTTTGACGCCGCGCCCCCCTTCCCCCCACGCGAGGCCACCGCTCGCACTTTTCATCATGGGCCCACCAGGAGCTCCGCGGAAGGCCTCCACGGTATAACGCCCATGCCGCCCCCCCCCCCCCGCTCTCCCCCGACACCCCTCACACTTCGCGCGCCCGATTGGGGGGCCCACCGAGGGCTCCGGCGGGAAGCCCGCATGCCGCCACCTCCTCATGTCGACACACCACGCAAAGATGTCGTGGCCCCACGGGGAACTCTACCGAGGGCTGCAGTAAGAAAGCCCTCTTGCCGCCCCCCGTCTATGTTAACGCACCCACTGCGGGCTTCGTGCCCCCATGGGAAGCCCGACCGACGACTCCAGGGGGGGAGTTCTCACGGATTTCGTGGCCACGTAGGAAGCTGCTTCGAAATCCACATTGGGACAGCCCTCACGCCGCCCCCCTGTCGCGATGGCACGCGCCTCACGCAGTTCGTGCCGGCGATGCTCGCAGCGTGCTTGTCCCCATCACTCATGGCATCTCACCCGCGGCGCCGCGGCTGCAAATGGTTGGGACCTTCGCCAAGTGTGTCGCCTTATGTCGCTGGAAGCTCTGGGAGGCCCCCAATACTGTCTAACGCGCGCGGGCCCGCCGCCCCTGTTTTACCGGTTCTTCCTGCGATGAGGCGCGACGCCGCACGTCGGCGACGCGCAGCAGTTTGCCCAGAGGGCGCATTTGGCTAAATTGAGGCTGAGTCCGCGCTGGCCGCCGCACGCCGCGCACCCCGCGGGCGCCGTCGGCCGCGTTAACGCACGCGGCGAGGCCGGCGCCGGCGGCGGCGGGGGGGGCGCGCGCAAGCGACGGCGTCGGCGCCGGAGCAGGCGCTGGCGCCGGCGCCGGCGCTGGCATGGGAACTCAAATGCCTGGCAGTGGTGCGCACATGCTGAAATGCTTCTGGAGGCGCCGGCGCCCTGGCTGGACCGCCGAAATCGTAGCAGCGACGGTGCGGACCACTTCGCCGAGGTCCTCAAGCATGAGCCGCCGCCGCAGGTCCACGGGCAACGACACGTCGCCGAGTCCGGCATTTCGCAGGGCGGCCTCGACGTCACGCATCCGCACCGACCCGACGGCGAAAAGCTGCCCCCCGCGCCTCCGCTGGGGCGACGGGCGCCAGAAGCACGGCCCTGCCTGGAAGGTGCACAGGTCGAGCGATGTCCCATACTCTTCATGGAACAGATAACACACGTGGGACCACGTCGGTAGTACCTCCTGCATCAGACGCCGTTTCCGCGGGGCGCCCTGCATGAGCGCTTGGAAGAGTGCCCTCGGCACTGGCCCCATGGACATGATGCGCTGCGTCAGCCGTAGCAGCGCCTCGCCGCGCGCGCGCCCGCAGGGCGCGCGGCGGTCGCACCGACACGACAACGCTGTCAGGAGGTGCAGGTGGTTTTGCAGCAAGAACTTGCAACCGTACGAATGGATCTTCTTGCCGAACGCCATCGTCTTCAGCAACGGCCGGCCAAGCAAGTGAAACCCGAGCGAGGCCAACATGAGCTCTTTGCCGAGCAGAAACTGCGCGTGGCGGCCCACTTCTTGCGCGCGAAGCTGGTCGAACATGGCCATCATGATGGCGCCCACGGTCACGCAGGCGTCTGGCCAGTGTAAATGCGGCGATCAAGTGGTCAACGGGTCCGTTGCACGGACAAGCCCCGGGCGCGTTGAGGCGCGGGGACTGCCGCGTGGTGCCTGGTAGCCGCGCGCAACCGCTGCTGGGGCGGCGCCGAATGGGGCGCAACGCGGCGCGTTTCGCTGGCACGGTGGCGGGAGCGCCGCAGGGTACTGGATAAACCAGACACGGCGCTCCGCGATTCCACCTGTGCGCAAACGTAAGCAGACGCGTGCTCAACCCACACGGCGGCAAGATGAGCGCGAAGGCCATCGGAAAGCTGCGGCGCAAGACGTCGACTGAAGAAGGTCAGGCCCATAAACGTCTTCGTACCTGCGCATCGAAACGCCGCGTCGTGGACGGACCACAGCGAAAACAGCGCGGCAGCTAGTGTTTCGCCAGGAAACAGCTGGGCGAACACGTCTGCAGCGTGGGCCGGCCGTGATCGGAGAGCCGCGTCCAAAAGTGGAGATCAACCGAGGAACGTGGCTGCCTTGCAGACGGCCAGGTACACAGGGTCGACCTC